CACCGCCGGGTCCAGCACCCACCCCCACCCCCACCCCCGGGTGCAGCCGTGCGGGGACCTCATGGGTGTGTCTGCGTGTTGGGCAGAGGCTCCTCTGCTGCACTGCGGCTGTGTGACTGTTGTAAATTTAAGGGGAGATGCAGGGGGGTCTCACTCTGCCCCTGCGGACGCCACTCTCTCTGACCATATTTTCACCGCGGGTACGGAGCTCGCCGATTTGGCTGTTCTCGTCCGTCGTAGGTGTTACAGTCCCCGTTGTGTACCCGAGGAAACAGCACAGAGAAACGTGAGGAGATGTGTGTGCGGCCTCGGAACGCAGTAGCAGAGTCTGGAATAGATTAAACAGTGGACTAGCTGTGTGCTTATCCACGTCTATCTGATTTTGTTAGAATAGGTTCTGCATGACTTTTGGTCAAAGCTTTATCTTTACACGTGTCGATCTGTGCGAAGCGTCTCCTTGAGAGGACCCCGCACACTGTACAAAATGAAACTTGGTTATTTGTGCTTCGTAGTTCTCAGGGCTCAGCGCCTGCCTGACGAACACATTATATACAGAACACAAAAGGACCAGGTGACTTGAAACGTGCATTTTTACCATTAAAACTGACGGGAAGCCACCTGGTGTATTTCGTGACATCAGAGTCGCACAGTACCTTGCTCAATGCCACCGAGGCCGTCGATTTCACAATAGTGCATCGGGGACTAAATTTGAGGCAATGCCATCCAGGTACGTTGTGAAAGGTTTAGATATTTGTGAAGGAAAAGCATTTCATAAAAGAAGAACAAAGATTTATGGAATGTTTACGAAGTACTGTTTCGGTGCATCCTCAAAGTTCTTTGTGGGGAAGGGAGGAATTGGCTGGTACAAATAAAGATGTGCGCCGAGTAACAGCGAAGTAAAGCAGGAGCGACTTCCCGCCGCGCAATTACGCAGACGGCGTGGGCTTGGCGTTCTCTTATTTGATGGTCGGTCAGGTAAGGCCATAAGCGGGGGCTCAGGAGAGGCCCAGGCAAAGAAAAACTTGGTTCTACCCAGTTTCTAGAGAGACAGAGTCAGTGCCCTGCGTGTCAAGAGGGAGTCACGTGGGAGGAGCGCTGGGGGCGTGGGCTCCGCCACGCCAGTGGGGAGCAGAGAGGAACCAACACGCGAGGCAGGCGCCGTCAGGGCGGGGTACGCAAGGGGAGGCGCAAGGGCCTCTAGCTGGTGTGTTTGGACGTTACCAGAAAGGAAAGGGAAGGCGAGGGTAGGAAGGGGAGCTAGTGTCAGAGCCCCACCTGTCCCACTGCCACACCTGGTTGCCTCCATGAGGTGCGCACGTGCTGTTTGTGGGATGTGGAGGCAGCAGGAAAGGTGAGGTTTTAAATTTCCAATCCCCCATTGTTGGTATTTTCCATTTCCCTCTTCTATTTTATAACCCATGTACGGTTTGTCCTCGGCCCCATTTCCGCTGATTGTGATTCTTTACCTGATGAGGTGACCTAAGCCTTTATTGTTGTCGGGGCTGAGCCCTTCCTGGTCCTATCCATGAGGGGTGGCTGCCGTATACCCCTAATTTTTTCCACTATATATAGCAGTACTAGCAGGCGCCCTCCAAATTCTCTGGGCCTCAGAAATACTTTCCTCTGACTCCAGTTACCTCGCAGAAATTCTCTCCTGATAATCAGCGTCCATCCCCCCAGCCCTCACGGTGACTCTGCTTTCGCTTGTTGGTTGGATAGCACAGGGATCCCCAGAGGCTTAGGTGTAAGTCTCATCCCTTCTTCGGAGCTTTTGTGTGAGAGGTTGTGACGGTGACTTCGGCTTTAGTGTGTCCACGGGTGGTTTTGCTAACACAACCCCGGTGGTAGGATGGGCCGGTACAGGAAAGGCGTGTATTCCAGAGGGTCACTTGCTACCCGCTGCAGAATGGGAAGGAAGCTGACTGCCACCCCCAGGGCAGGTCATCCAGCCCAGCTGATTCCTGGAAGCCTCCTCTATGGTGGATGCTCACAAGGGGTGCACATTTCCTCCCCGTGGGACCCATTCCTGTAAGTCCATTCCTACACCCCTTCCCTAGCCTGCCTTGCGATGAATTCTCCAGTCTTGGTCCTCCCCAGTCCTGACCATCTGAACAAACTATCGTATACTCATTCACCAGAGTATTTATCTACCTCCTTCGAGGCAAAATGAAACAGATACACTTCAAGCTTTGCCCAGAGAATTACGAAAACTTGTTGAATGTGGCTTAAGTGGTTCTGGGAGGGGAATTTACAGCTTTGAAGGCTTAAATAAGCAAACAGTGAGAAAAAAGGAATGAGCTAAGACTCCAAGTGTATGCATTATAAAAAGAGCTGAATAAAGCCAGAAAAACTAGATGGAAATGAAAAGATGAGAATTCAGAAAATGAATATAGAAATAAAGGAACATTTTTAAAAAGGATTTCCAAGACATCTTTCAAAAGAGAAAAAAAAAAACTAGGCAAACTTCCAGAAAGATCAATTTTTAAAAGTTAAGACATGATGCATAGAAATGTTAGGAGTGAAAAATACATAATACAGGTATAGCAAAGATTTTTTTTTAAATAATAAGATAAATTCATTGCAGTAAACGTGAAGTGATCAACTGCATATTGTGCTAGAACAATATAACTTACTCAAGAAGTAAAAAACCAGAGTACAACTAAATAAGGAATTTGAATCAGTGGTTTAAAATCTCCCCTTACCCGCACGGAGTACATTCAGTCTAAGCAAAGTTACCAAGCATTCGAAGAGCAGGTATTCCTAATATTATACAAACTTTTATAAAGAGCAAAATTGTGAATGCCCTCGCAATCCACTTAATAAGGCATCATATCATTTCATCCATAAATACTGCAGTTCAACCTCTAAGAGGACATTTTTCTTTTGTAAAGAACATCGACAATACCATTTTCCCACCCAAATGGTAGCAGGGCGTGCGCCTGCAGCTTTGACTTTTTTATTGGGGTCACGCTTTATACGTAATTTCGTCTGCTGGCTTTGTCACAGCAACATGCTGCAGAGCGTGTTCCCTGTGACGAGATGCTCACGATGCTGGCAGCGCAGGCCCACGCTGTCCAGAAGCGTAGCGTCTTCACCATGACCTGTGCGGCTACAAAGAACGATACAGCGAGGGCCTCCACAGTGCCAACATCACTGTGTCCCGATTGTCTCTTACAGTTAAAAGTGCTGAGGAGGCTTCCTAAGTGCTTGTTCTGTCCCGCCAAATCGGTCCACACAAGCGGGGTGGCATCGCAGGTCTGTCCCCTGCACCTTGTCGGCAAGGCACCAAAAGTTTTCATTTGCTGCAATTTGAAATCACTTTTTGTTTCGGTTACGTCTGTGCTGTTTTAGTCACTCATAAAGAAGAAGTGCTTTCTTGTGCTTATTTTACTGGCCGTGTGGATTTCTCTTGAGCATCGAGCAGCAGGTAACAGAGGGGGCGCGTGTGTCGGCGACAGGGAACAAAACCGGTTCCACCGAGATGCACTTCTAGCTGTCTATCTCTACCTCTCAAATCCAGGGTTGCAAAAATCGAGGGGACGGAGCTAATAAGACAGGCGGGGTACTCCCCCCCACAGGAGGAAATCTAGCTACCTGTTCTGGAAGCCCAAGCTAAGTAAAGCCAGAAAGGAAAAAAGCAGAACCCCTCACTTCCGGGCAAATGGCCTGGTTTAAAATCCTTATGTCAAATGCAGCTGGCCCTACAGAACGGAAGAGGGAGAAGGGAAAGCTCAAAAGAGCAGCGGTTCCCAGCTACTGCCCGGTCCTACGCCCAGACTGTGACTCAGGTGTTCTGCAGCCCAGGCAGGGACGTTTGTAAAGTTCCCAGCTGCAGCTGCCGCTGCGTGACCCGCGGGCGTGCCACCGCCAGAGCCTGGGAAAAGTTCCCCAGGAAGAGAATGTCCACCTCTCTCACCGCTCCTGGGTCTCACCTTCCTTTCAACCCCCTTTCAGAAAAGGCAGCTGGCCAGAGAAGGTCTCCTACGTGCCTTTGTTCACCCTCTTAGGAGCTCAAAGCCCATCCCTACTCAGCCAGCGGCCACCACCCAGGACGCAGGTGGCATAACAGCTCTATCTATCCCACCGCAGCCTACCCCCTTCCCGCGCCCACGTCCGTTAGCCCCAGCCGCGGTGTCCAGCTGGAGACGAGATATCCTAAGGGACAGCAGTCCCCACAACCTGCAAGGGCCTACCCCACACCCAACTCCAGCTTTCCTAGCCACAGGCCACCATCACCCTGGGGAACATGCCCTCCAACGGAGCTGCAGGTCCTGGAGACACCTGCCTGCAACTGCACCTGTCCCAATCTGAGGACTCCATCCACAGTGGATGGAATGGTGGCCTCAAAAGATATGCTGATCCCCAGAACTTGTGGATGTGACCTTATCTGGAAAAAGGGTCTCTGTGGGTGTGATGAAGGCAAAGATCTCGAGATGAGATCATCCAGGCTGGCACAGGTGAGTCCTAAATCCAATGACTGGTGTCCTTATAGAGACAGAAGACAAGGTAAGATGAAGAGAGGAGGCCATGTAACCATGGAGGCAGAGAGTGGAGTGACATGTTTACCAGCCGAGGAACACAAATGGCCGCCACGGAAGCTGGAAAGAGGCACGGACTCTCCCTCGGAGCCGACCCTGCCCACGGCTGCACTGTTGGCCTTCCGAGCTGTGAAAATATGAATTCTCGGTCTTTTAAACCACCAGGTTTGTGGTACTTTGTGACAGCAGCCATGGGAAACTAATACAGCCCCCGATAACCAAAAGTGCTCCAAGAAAAACTGCAGAATCCCCATTGAAATGCAGCACCCATGGGTAAAGCACCCAAATGTGCCTTTACCTCTTCCCCAAGTACCATCTGCGATTAGACACCTGGGCTTCAGGAAATGGGAAAGTTGCTCCCACCCCCGACGGATGCCAAGAAACCCCCCAGTCCAGGCTTGTTTGCAGAATGGGCTGCTGGCTGCCTTCCAGCACTAGACTTAAATCCTACTTGTAGTCAGCCCTCTGTCAAGTAGCGGAAAACCCTGTGACAAAGCCCAGAGATGGATTCACAACATCCCATTCCCGCCCAGGGGAGCTTGGGGGAGGGCAGGGGCGAGGGCCGGGGCACCAAGGAGTAAATAATGCGTATTCTTCCTCTACTTCCAACATCCTTTTTTTAACGACACCGCATGGTTCATGCCTATGGCTTTGACATCCTACGAAATATTCAGAACCTTGCAAAACAGCAAAGTTTACAAGGTCGTCTGGTGTTCGTAAGTTGCCAATTACTACCAAGTGGCTTCCATTCGCAAGGCTGGGAGCATCTGGGGCTGGCGCAGGGAAGAGCATCAGCAAACTTCTGGAATGTGATGGAACATGGCCACCACCATTCACGCTGGGCGGCACGCCCTCAGGGAACACAGGAGCATGCGCAGTGCAGGGAAAAGCAAGGGAAGAGTGTACCTGTGCGAAGCTTCGCCCCGTCAAGCCACGAGGCCACGAGGTGGCCGCAACAACTCCAAAGCAGGGCAGTGGAGGAAAGGTGGGGACATGCGCCCACACAAAGAAAACAAACTTTACGTCCCAAACATGCCAGTACAAAGTCACCGTAGGAAAAGATCAGCCCAACTTCCATCACGCCATAAAAGCTGATCCCACTAATGACCAAAGCGCTCTTACAAACCGAGGAATAAAACACTAACGGCCCAAGAGAAAGATGAGCGAGAAATCCAGACAAGCCGCTCACGCCAGAACTGAGAAGGGCCCCTGAAGCTCCGAAAGACGCTCAAGCTCACTCTTAACACAGAACTGCACGCCTGGCGGATGGCGACGCCCACAGGTTGGACACCCCTCACCGGGGGCAAGGCAGGAACCAACACAGGGCACTGCGGGCCTCGTTGGCAGATGCTCAGTGCTGCTGCGTCTAAGAATCGGACCCAGACGCACACGTGATCGACGCACGTGGAGTTTCGCTGTGGCGTCACGACAATCAAAAGATGGGCAGCGACCCCCAAGCCGTGGTGCGGCCTCCCTGTGGAACAGCACAGCCTGCAAGCACGCCGACGCCGGGTGTGGGGGAGCTGGGCCAGGGGGTGGGAGGGGGGCCTCCTGTCTCATCTCGGGCCGGGAAGCAGCTCTCTCTGAGAGCCCCGGGCTTGACTGTTGACTTCCCCAGTGGAGGTAGAAGAAGAGGGGCCCCCGACGCAAGTGAGCCAAGCGGACAGAATGAATAAAAGAGCGGAGCGTCGGGCCAGGCTGGGACTCCGGGTACCCTAAAAGAGGCGAACCGGCAGACGGGGGAGCTGAAGCGTAAGGCCCTACGGCTAGCTCTTGGGGCTCAAAGAAGGAGCCTGCTCTTTGTCACCTAGCCCATCATTCAGGACTAGGCAGATGGGAGGGAAAAGCATAGATTGCACTGTCCTGGGCCGGTCATCAGCAGGCGACCCTACTCGATGCACTCCATGACGTGTATCTGCAGGGTGTCCATATCAGGAGCCTGATACTGGCACTTGGGGCAACAGAAGTCAGGCGGCTCCTCGGGGGGGCTTCTCCTCTGGCTGGGCAGGACCAGGTGAGAGGAGTGGTGAGCTGAGAAAAGAAGACAGGTACCGGTTATGGCACAGACGGCAGGGAGCGGAGGGGACACAAAGTACCGAGACGCCATGGACCGTCAGGTCCAACAACCAGGGTCATCGCCATCAGCTCCTTGCCTTTAGCCCCGCCCCTGAGGTGGGAGGTACTGATGAGAAGGGGCGACCGCTGCCAGCGCCTTGCCCTCCCTGCCCCTCCTCCTGCAGCTCACTCACCTGGGGCAGGGGCCAAGGGGGGCTGGGAGACCTCTACATGCCGCTTCCTCATATCTTCAATCCTTTGAGGAGAGAAACCGTCCGATCAACATAGGTGAGCCAAGCTCCGGGGGGGGCGTATGAAGCTGATAGAAGGACAGGGTGGCAGGAGGGGAGACGGGGGCCCAGCTCACCCCACCCTGAGAAGACAGAAGCACTCAGTCTCCTGCACTCACCACTGGAAGCCCCCAACACCCAGCCCCCCCTCCACACAGAATGCACACTCCAAGACCCACCTGGCCGACTCCTGACAGCTGGCCTTCAACCTGCTATACTCCCGCTGCAGCTGCTCCAGCTGTTCCTGCAGGAGCTCCTTCTTCTCGGCCAGCTTCTCCCGGGCCTGCCTCTCGGCCTGGAAGTCTGCCTTGTAGATATCCGCCTGGCGAAGCCGAGAAAGATGGATGTGCCCGCCACCTGTCGGCCACTCATTGGACATTCCGTGCCAGGCACCAGGAGGCAAGACAGAGCTCACTCCTGCCCTCCCAGAGCCCATGGCGCAGAGTCACCCCAAGTGCACTGAGAGGTCAAGGAACAGTATGAGGGGCTCAAAGAACTTCCGAGAAGCCACTGCAAAATAACGCCAAAGACATAACAGGTCTAGCGCCAGTGGGCCTGGTCTGCTCGGCCACACGCAGGCCACAGAGGAGAGCCCTCACCTGGGCCTTCAGCACCGGCACGGTCTCCATCACAATCTTGTGCTGCTCGGCCTCTTCCTTCAGCTTGTCGATCACTTCCTGTTTGGCCACCAGGGCCTCCTCGGCCTGCTGCAGCTGCTGCTTGAGCTCTTCCAGCTGCGTTCCCTAGGGACAGGCAAGGGGGTCGCTGACATAGCCCAAGCTGGCCCAGGGTAACGGTCATGCCTCCCCCAGCCTGGCCGCTGCTTCCGGCAAGAAGAACCAAGAGGAAGCGAAGATCAGCCCCAGCTGGCCCGCGGTGGGGTGATGCCAATCACAAGGTGTCAGTGCATGCAAGGCACAGGAAAGGTGGAGGCTGGAGAAGACCTCTGAGGTCACCTGGCACGATGTCCCACCCAGGCTGACATTCCCGTCCCAAAACCCCCAGCTGGACAGCCCTCCTGCAACCCTTCAAAGCACAGGGGCCACACTTCCTCCTGGGGCTGCCTGTTCCACGCTGAGCTGGCCTTCTACACTAACAGTCCGCCATGGGCCCGCTAAGCCGAGACTTTGGTCTTTCCACTCTGCTATCTGGTCAAAGGTCTGCTGGTCCGTCACAGACACCTCACACACAGACACGCACACAGACGCACACACTCGGACACGTGCACACAGACATTACAAACACATGCGCACGCGCACACACACGCACGCGCACACACATACACCACCAGGCCTTTCGTCCAGAGATCAAAGGGCCACAGTTTTGTAATTAACTCTTCCTGCGTAACCTGCTTTCAGGCTTTCTCCCTGAAAGTCTCCTCTGGGTACCGTCATGTGTGACAACATCCTTCTTAAAACACGATCGCTAGAAACTGAACCCGCTACAAGTCTGATGAGGACAAACTACAAGAGGACTCCTGGCTGCCTTCAACACTGGGACGGAAACAGCCCGGAGCCAAACTTGGTGATGGCTGGCAGGAGGACCCGGCCCATGGAGGGGGCATCGGAGGCCCACCCCAGTCTACCACAGGAAGCAGGCAGCACAGCCCGAATGTCCCCAGGTCCCCATGGCCTGCCCTGAACCATCACACTGTGGTCTTGACAAAACTTTACGACGAGCCAAGTAGCCCTCCCCAAAACTCTGTCAAATCTTAAGGTAGGGCCTTGAGTTCCGATATCCCCGAATTTAGGACAGCAAGCCCCATGGGAGACGGACCAGGGCCAGGTCAGTCGTAGGCAGTCCCAGGGACATCCCCGCCATACTCACTCGGTTTCGCTCACTGCTCACCATGCTGCTCTTCATGTGGTTGTCATACTCTTGGAAGAGCTGGTGATAGGCCACCTGCAGCTGAGCCAGCTTCCGCCTAAGAAAAAGGAACTTTTGCTGGAAATGCCATCTTGTCCTGGGTCAGCCACAGCTTTTCCCGCATCCAACTCCACTCACTTCCTTCCTGTCACGTCCACAGACCCGAATGGGACTTTGAGGGTACATCTGTGCCTTAAAGACCGTCGGCTCTGAGGCACACTTGGCTAAGCAGTTAATATCGTTTTCCTTAAAACTAACGTTTTTTTAAAGTACGAAAAGAAATGTTTATAAAGAAAACGCAACTGTCTCGCACTCTTCGAAAGAGTCGACTTCGTGCAAAACCTAGAAAGGCAAGCCTGTTCTCAACTAAAGGAGATTCAAAAGGCATGCCAGTGAAAGGGATGCAGGATGCGGGACCGGATGCTGTTAACGCGTGGGCCCGACGGTGGCATCTCAATGTGGGCTGGAGAACGGAGAACGCGATCGTATCAAAAAATGGATCATTTGAGTGTGATAATGGTAAGGGACCGAACCTGGCCCTGAGCCACGGCCAGTCCCTGGAAGGGCTCCCTGAAGAAAGCAAGCCGCCGACGCCCTCTGGGCTCCGTCCCTCCCGTGTTGGGCACCCACTCACTTCTCCTCCGAGGCGGCCTGGCGCTCCATGCGCAGGGCTGCGTCCATGCTTTGGTTCTGCATGCGCAGCTGGTCCACCTGCACACTGTGCTGCTGCTGCAGGGCCTCGCGCTCGCTCTCCAGCTGCCGGGCCTGCTCGCTGGCCGCCCGGGCCCTGGCACGAGGGGAAGGGGGAGGTCACGGCAGGGCCACAGCAGGAGCAGGGATGCCCACAGGCCCCCCGCCGTGCTGAGCGGGGGACTGCAGGACCCAGAGAGCGGCAGCGGCTCTGCAGTCGGGGGAAGGGGCGGGCACTGGGAGCAGGACACGGGGAGGAGTCGTGGCTCTGAACATCCCGCCAATACGCAGCCAACGCGGCGTGAGAAAATGGGAGGCACCTGTGCCGTCGCTAGAGCCAGGGATAACCGCAAGGCGCCAGGTTAGGGGTGATGCGTTGGTGTCAACGCAAGGGTCTCGCGGATGACCAAGTGCCAGGAGACCTGGGACTCCAGCTCAGGCTGATGACACCCGTCACAGAAGCCCCTTCGAAGGTGAAGGAAGTGATTCCAGAAAGGGACGCGCTGCTGGGACCGGGGGGGAGGGAAGCCCCCGGGAACCGCCCGTTGGGTTCCGACAGGTGGGTGCTGGGCAGCCGGCTAAAGCGGTCTCAGTGGAGGGGGTGGGAGAGACCGGCGGGAGAGGAAGTGAAGTCAGCCAGCAAGGATAAGCCCTTCTAGAAGGTGGGGGAGTAAGGTGAGAAATGGGGTGAGGCAGCTGGAGGGGAAGGCGCGGTCAGTATGCTCAGGTAACTCGTTGTCTCCTACTCGCTGTTCTAGAAGCTGGCGAGGAGGTGGCCGGCCCACTTCAATGTCTCATCTAGACTCCCGAACGTCCACGCCTGTAAGGGGAGCCTCCCGTCGGCCTGCCTGGGAGACAGCAATGGCCCTGGCAGGTGGCAGGGAATTCCTCGTTCGCTCTACGCTCCCACTGTAATGGCTTATCTCCTCTCCCCAGATCCCCGCGACGCCCCCAATCTTCTGATCCAGGCCCAATATCACCCCACGGCCCCAGTCTGCCATCTGCACAATCCTATGTCCACACAGCTCCCTAAATCTCCAGTTTCAAATTCCAGCCATGTGATCCCGCTGTCCCAAGGGTTCCCACAGTCTCCATTGCGAGGGTGACGGTGGGTATTTCTGGGTGGGTGGGGGGTTACTGGGGGGGTCTTCACTGGTCTGTTTCTCCACACGTGTCCAACTGTATTGAACACACACTTCCATCTATAATCAGACAAAAGTTAGGTGCTGTCATCATCGCCAGACGGAACTGCTGCCTGCCAGGAGCCCGAGAACGAGGGGGAGGGCCATTCCAACACCGACAGGCCAGGGGCCCAGAGGGCGGCCACATGTATGAAGTTTGAAGCTGTTTAAATGGCTACACGGAACGATCTGAGAAGCAGGCGAGGCTTTGTGCCCTGAACTGTCCAGCTCGGCATTTATACACTTGACCGCACAGGGGAGGGACAGGAAAAGAGCTGCCCAAGAGCCTTCGGTCACCAGAGGAAACGCCCCTGCAGGGTGCGTCACTGACCCAAGTCGGCTGCAAACTGCACTGACAGCGGAATGTCTCCAGCAGCTTCTTTTATGTGCACAGAAAAAGATAGGCAGGAAAGACACCACGTCCTAAAAACAACACATGTGGTTTTAGAAACACGGCGGTACAGAAAAATATACAGGGAAAACGCCAGAGTGTGACGAGCCAAAGGCAACGAGGCTCAGCCTTCCTATGCTTGTCCTCGCAGTGTGACCTCTGGGTGGAAGGGCACTCACGCCGTCTCCCATGTCGCTTGGATAACTGGAGGGGAAAACCCCTGCCTGCTCCTCCAGCCCCCTTCAGGAAGGCGACCCTGACATCGCCCACGGCACCCTGATCACCTGCACTGGGAGAGCTGGGGCCACCGCTGTCGACTGGAACTGTCTTTCTGGAGGGCAACAGCGGGGCAGCAAGGGAACCTCAGAGACATCCATGCCCTTTGACCCAATGACCCCGCCTATGGGAACCCCCCCCTTTGCAGACAAGAGTGACTGGCAGGCCTGAGGTGGCCAGTTCCAGAAGGGCCACTTGCAAGGTTGGCCCTCAGGTGGCATCTGGGCAGTGGGCTGGTGCAAGTCCCCTATGACATGACATTTTGCCTACTGATAAAGGCGGTCCCTTAGGAGCACCTGCTTTCCTCTGGGAGTCGGGAAATGTGGTGTGTGCGTGGCACAGAGGCCCACGTGACCAGCCCCTAATACCACCCGGGGTGCTGGGTCTCAAGTGGGCTCCCTGGGTCGGCAGTGATGCATTTTTCACTGCCGAAGAGGGGAGAGAGCTCGGCGGACCCCTCCCGTGAGGGAGGGCGGGAGCCTAAGGCCTGGGGTTCTCCACCCCTGCTCTGTGTCCTGTCTTCGCAGTCCTGGCGTGTGCCCTTTCCCTGTGATAAACCTCAGCCGTGAGGGCCCTGGGAGCGAGCGCTTCCACAGACCCGCGGTGGATCGTGGGCGTGCTCTTGCCACTGACAAATGCCCCCCAAAGAAATGATCCGAACTCCAGAAAAAGGTCCGAGAGCCCAGAAGTGCTGCTGTGACCCAGGTCCCGGACGCCTGGTCCGCCTCTCCTCAAGCACCTGCTCCGATGCCCCGTGCGCTCACATCCCATGTCCTCCAGTCCATCCTGTCACAGAGGAACCTCTGGAGGCTCCAAAACGTCCTCATTCTTCTCAAGTACCCCGACAGTGGCCTCCGGGGCGGGCTTTTCCTCCCCACTCACCTGCCCTCCAAAGCCTGCCGCTCCTTGGTGGCAGCTTCCAGGCGACTCTGGCTCTCCTGGAGCTCCCCCAGCAACGATGTCACCTGGGCTTTCACCGAGGCCTTGTCCTCGGCCATCTGCTGCATGAAGAAAAAAACAGTTCTTGTCAGCAATGCTTTCTCACAAGCTGCCCACCCCTGCTGGCCCCAAACCCCGGGACAGCCTGCAAGAGCTGCGATGTGTCACCCTGAGGGCTTCTCTCCTACCCCTGACACTCTGACTCATCTCACCTCTCACCTCCAGAAGATTCCTGACCTCAGCAAGGCAACTGAGGCAGTGCAAAGGGATCAGGTCCCACGATCCCATACTCGCAAGCCCCTCGTCTCTGCAGATGGGGCACGAGTCCCAGGGACACTGGAGCACAGAGGGGCCTCAAGTCTCTCGAGGCTGATGACCAGGCCACGAGGGCCGAGCCCCGCAGGAGTCTCTCGGCCTCTCTGAGACTCAGTGCCAAGGGACGTGAGACACGAAGGCAGTGACAAAAGTACATGCTCCGTTCCACGGGCCCCAGGCCACCAGAAGGTGACATGGACTGACACTGTTTCCAGAAGACCTCCACCAACGACAAAATTCAAGAGCTGTCCAAACTCCCCACTGGCTGGTCTCTCTCATCAAACCGAATGGAGCCAGGTCCCCCATGACCTCAGGCTGCTCCAGCCCAGGGCTGAGACTGAGTCCTCCGCAACCCCAACCCCTCCATAGTAACCGCCACTCCTGAGGGTGCTCTTGGGGACCCCGAGCACTGCTTCTCTCTGGAAACACTGGCATCGCTGTGGGTTTCCAGGACGCACCTGGCTGTGGACAGGTGGCCAGCGGCCTGAGCCGGCGCCTCCTGGGAAAGGGCCTTCCCTGCCCCCACTGGCTACCTGCTGGCACCTCTTCAGGTGCTCCACCTCCTGCAGGGCCTGCTCCCTCTGCTCCCTCAGGTCGAGCTTCTCCACACTCAGTCTCTCCACCAGTTTCCTGGCCTCCTGGAACTTCTGCATGAGGAACTGCTTCTCCTCCCTCTGGTTGCCTTGGAAACGCTGCAGCTCCTCACAGCACTCCCGCAGCATCTGGTTGCTCTGGCGAATGGCATCTGGCAGCAGAGGAGAGAGCAGCGGGGAGGTGAGCCCCGGTGGCCGGCCTGCCAGCCAGCCCCTCCTGGGGTCCGTCACGGTGCCCTCCACTCACTACCAGGTGGCCTCTCACACAGAGAGGTGACTTTAAAACACTGACTTTTATTTCATGAAACACTTTCAAACTCAATGACGCTACCGATATGTCCCTAAATATCTCCAACAAAATACCGAACGCAACAGGTTCACTTAAAAGTGTTTGCCAAATGTCACTCTCTTTGTGAGTGACTCTGGAACTCATCATGCCCGCCCTGGAGAACTGGGTCACTGTCTTTAGGATCGAGAGGTCCTAACCGACCTGCAGACTCAGGGGACGGCCACCAGGACAAACATCTTTCTGGCATTGCTGGCTGCGGCCTAGGAGGGCCGGAAGGCTTGGACTGGACCAGTTACGCGCCTCTCTGAGACTCGCTGTCCTCATCTGCACAGGGACAATAGCGCCCATCTCACAGGATGAGGAGGGTTAGATTAAAAAGCAGACAAAGAACCCAGGTGCACAGCACAAGTTCAAGAAACAGCCGGTCCTGCTCTCCCCGGGCTGAAGGATGAGCGTCTGCAAATGCCAGGCAGTCAGCAGAGGCCGAGGAAAGGAGAGCCACATACCCCAAGGCAGCAGAAGACTGTCGGGGGTGACGAAACCGATCAGTGACACACAGAGGTTCTAGCAACTACAGAGCTGTATGAGACAGGGGCAGGCAGGAGCTTCATGTCACCCTCTGGTCAATGCCCTTGACTAGCTAACTAGTTCCTACTGATGGAACATTCGCTGGAATCGCAGTGGCTTCTAACCTACCTTCTGTACTGTCCTGTTCTCATGTGACTTCTCCCCTGCAAGGAAGCGACACTGGGCTCAAAGCCCTCCTGCCTCAGGCACACTGTTCCCCCACCAACCTCCACCTGTCGCAATCCTGCTGAGCCTCGCCCAAGGCTCAGCTCGTATAGGATTTCCTTTTTTATTGAGGTAAAATTTCCATAACATCGAATGCATCATTTTAACTATTATAAAGTACAGTTGACCCTTGACTGACATGGATTCGAACTGCTTGGGGCCACTTATACATGGATTTTTCTTTCAATAAATATACAGTGGGTCCTGAGTATCCACGGGTTTTGCATCATAGATTCAACCAACCTCAGACCGAAAAAGGTATTTTTGACCCACGGCTGGGAATCCGCAGCTGCAGAGGGCCAACTGCATGTGTTGTTCTACGCCACCGTATATAAGAGACTTGAGTATCCTCAAATTTTGGCATGGGAGCGGGGAGGGGTCCTGGCCCCAATCCGCCATGGATAACGAGGGACACCTAGAGTTAAGTTTTGGTGAGTCAGGTTATACGCAGATTTTCAAAAGCGCGGGGAGGTCGGTGCCTGTGACCCCTCTGCGGTTCAAGGGTCAACTGTACACATTCGGTGGCTTTTAGTGGATTCGTAAAGCTGTGCGCCCATCCTCTCTATCTAGTTCCAGAATATTTCCATCGCTCCCAAAAAGAACCTCATACAGTCCCTTCCTGGCCGTTCCCTCCACACTGCCCCCAGCCCCTGGCACCTACTCATCTGTTTCTGTCTGTGGACTCGCCTCCCCGGACATGTCACATAAATGGACTCCTACGCATGTGACTTCTTCCCTAAAGTTCCCCTTAAACATTTCAAAGTCTATGTCCTCCCTCCTGCACCCTCCTCCACAGGCACAGTCCTGAGCATCGAGGGGGCAGACACCTATGACTCTGCCCTAAAGGCAGGCAGGTATTGGTGGCTCTCTGTGCTCAAAGCAGGGCTGTCTCCAAAGCAATCCAGGCCTCCAGGAGACAGAAAAGCCCCTCGGTGGCAAGGCGACTGCACTAGACCCCTTCCATCCTGGAAGGGAAGGCAATTCGCCTTGACAGGAAGAAAAGACACATTTCAGACACGGTTGTGGCCCCTGACTGCAGGCCCTCAGCTAGCACCTCTCTGAGGCTTACAGAGCATGTGGCTTATCAGCAGAGGGCCCCACGTAACATCCTGTCACACCGGGGAACACATTATCCAGCAAAGGAGGTTGGGGAGTGACTCCATGACTGTAGCCTCCACTGGTTGTATCACATGCCAACCCACCGGTCCACTAGGACAGTAGATAGCTGATTAAAAACAACTGAGACACTGGCTTGGGGGAAATTTCTGCAAAGATCAGGCACCGTCCTCCAGGATATACAGTACACGGGGACTGTGACCTTCATAAGCCCTAAATTCCCAATAGGAACCAAGGGATGAAGCAAATGGGGGTGTGTGCCCCATCATCCCCGTGACCCACCTGAGGAGTCCGTGCCGCCCCTCCCTGCAGCTCTGGGCTCGGCAGTCTAGAAAGTCCCCACGGCAGATACACAAGAGTCTCACTGACTCAGAAGCTAGGGGTGCCACCTGGGCACCTGGGGCTACTCGTAGGTACCAAAGAAGCAGCAGGCCAGATGTGGAGCCCCCAGGGCATGATCGCGAGGGAGGGCATTGTCACACGGGGGCGGGGGGAGGTAGGCAGGAATGTGCCGCATCCAAGGACACCTGTGCCATCTGAGGGGCACAGCACAATGGCCACTGGGACCTGGAGAAGCTGCCCCTGATACAGGTGAGGGCGTGGAGGGTGGGGGCTGGGATGGGGACGGGGATGGGATGGCAGGGAAAGAACTTGACCCCTGGACACTTGGTGGGGGCTGCTGGAGGACAGCCTTCAGCCGGGGTCTCTTCACAGAGCTGCCTGGCCCCGGGGTCAGGAGCCAAGGACCCCTCCCTTTTCCAAAGCAGCCCTCAGGTCACACCCCTTCCTGGGAGGCCTCTTCCTGGGAGACCCCCTCTGCCACGCCTCTTCCCAGGGAAGGCCTCGCCCCTTCCTGGGAGGCCCCTTCCTGCCAAGGAGACCCCTGCCACGCCCCTTCCCAGGGTAGCCTGCGCTTGACTCATCAGTGTGGGGACAGGAAGGCCTGGCCGTGTTGGCCCAGCTTGGGACAACTCAGAAGGGTCCTTCCAGGCCCAGAGCGCCCTGTAGGGTCGACCTGCACTGCAGCCCAGCGTCCCCTCTGCCCACCCCACTTCTTCCCTGTCCTTCCTTTCCTTTCCCTTCCCCGGTGCTGGTCCCCAGAGTGCTCTGGATCGGCCCCCTGCACATGAATCTCAGCCTCGCAACATGAATCCGGGGAACCCCATCTGAAACAAACAGGGAGGGTAGCTGAGCGTGAATCACTAGCTGGCTCTCAGGTGCATGCCCACCTCCGGACCCAGTAAACAAAGAGGCGCAGGTGAGTAGAATAAGCCTTCTCCCCAGCAGGGCTGAGTCCCCTGACATTTTATTCCTCACACCCGTGGTCCTCCTCACCTCGGAGCTCTTGATTCTCCTCCAGACAGCGCTGGAAGGTCTCAGGAGCGCCCTGCTCCGAAGGCAGGTGGAGCATGGCCGGCTTCCCCAGAGAAGGCTCTTCACCCAGCATGTCCTGGTCCCCAGCCGGGCCACCACTGGGCTGCACCATCTCACACGGCTGACTCTTCCAGGGGGGCCTGCTCATCCAACAAGTCAAGGTCTGGAAGAGAAAGGCCACAGAGGCGTCACACGAGACCCGTACTCTCTGCAGGACAAGGAATGAAGCCTGTGCAGTCCTGGGGCCACACGCGATGCAGAACACCAAACACGATGTCAAGTGTAAGAGGATGACAAAATGGGCTTTCTGGCCGAAGAGGTGACACCTACTCCCATTCCAAAGAGAGGTACAGGTCTACTGCCATGCTACCGTGAACAAGCCCGATCCCGTCTGATCTTGGAAACTAAGCAGGGTCGGGCTTGGTTAGTACTTGGATGGGAGACCGCCTAGGAAGACCAGGTGCTGTAGGCGTCAAAAAAAAAAAGAGGTACAGGCCCACATGTGGGGCTTGGAACGTCCAGGTTCACCGGTTATAAACTCTGCCTAGCGCCTCTCTCCAGGCTGGAAGCCGAAGGTGAGAATTTCACCAAAGGGGGCAGTTAGAGGGTTATTTTTGGAGGGAGGTGTCCGTGCGCTAGGAATCCTACCCCATACACACATCTCCAGGCAGGTGGAAGGTTTCGGCCCCTCACCCAGTGCTCACATCCTGCCTCCCAGAACCTGTGAACATGATCTTATTTGGACAAAGGTCTTTGTAGATGTAATTAAGTGCAAGGTCTTTAGAGGAGACCACTCTGAGTTGCGGGAGGGCCCTAAAGCCAATGACAGGTGTCTCTATAAGAGATAGAAGAGAAGACACAAACAGAGAAGCCATGTGAAGGTGGAGGCAGAGACTAGAGTGATGTGGCCACAAGCCAAGGGACACCTGGAGCCACTAGAAGCTGGAAGAGGCAGGAAGGACCCTCCCCTAGAGCCCCTGGTGGGAGCGCGGCCCTGCTGACACTTGGTTTCATACTTCTGGCCTTCAGAGCCCTGAGAGAATAACTTTCTGTTGTTTTAAGCCACCCAGCTTGTGGTCATCTCTTACAGCAGCCTGAGGAGATTAATACATCTAGTAAGAGGGGCTTCGAGGAGACCAATCAGGACCTGTTGAGTGTTTCCTGGAACTGAAGGGCCAAAGGGGACATCTAGTATCTGATGTGTCCCAAGGAATCTGAAAGCGGGAGCTGGGCTCATGGCCTAAGACAGCAGGGCAGAGACACAGGCTGAGCTGTTCCCATTCTTCTGTGAACTAGAGCAGAGGTGGGCCACATGGGGTAGCACCAGCCTGGAGCCCTTCCACATCCTGCCTAAGGAGACCAGCTACCTGGAGTAGGAGGCCAATCTCATTACAAGTTTCCAGGACCGGGCTGAGGGAGGCTTTAACACCGGATGCACTTGGACGTTTGACTATCACACTGAACACCGCACTAACCCATCAGCAGTATCTGACCAACCACAGATCCCTCCCTAAGCTTCCAGAACAGCCAACTCTCCTGGTTTTCCTCCTACCTCACTGGCCGCTCTTGCTCAGTCTTTCACTAACTCTTCATCAACCCGCCCCCCCCCATATTGTGGTGCCCCGGGACTCTGCTCTGGGATCTCGACTCCTCTAAATGAAGTCAGCCCAGTACTAACTCCACCCAGCCTTATGGCTTCAAGCTCCACCTGAATGCGGACGATGCCCCAAATTAGACCTCTTTCCTGAACTCCAGACTCACACGACAAACTCAACATCTCTACTCAGAATCTCATCGTCCTCTCCAAACTAATCTCTCTGAATCTGCACTCCTGACAGTCCCCAGAGCCAGTCGCCCACAGCCTTCCTTATTGTCAGTTGATGGCAAATCCATCCTTCAATTATCGGGACAAATACCTTGGATCTTTCTCCACTCCTCTCTGTCTGTCACAGCTCACACCCAATCCGTCAGGAAATTCTATCAAAATGTATCCCAGAATCTATTTGATGACACTAAGCAATTAACGTTAACTATTTTAGACATCATAGTGGTATTTGTGGTTATGTTTTTCCCAAAGTCCTTCCTTAGAGATGCATACTGGAATATTTACAGATGGTGTCAAAAATTCACTTCGAAATGATGGGGGAACTCCTAGGTATATACCCAAAAGAAATGAAAACACATGTCTACACGAATGCTCACAGCTGTGTTACTCATAACAGTCAGAGTGGAAACAACCCAGTCCATCGACTGATGAATAAACAAAATCTAGTACGCCCGCATGCTACGACATGGATGAATCTTGCCAACATTATACTAAAAAGAAACAGCTCACAAAAGGCCACATATTGTATGACTCCATTTATACTCAATGTCCAAAATAGACAACTATATAGAGACAGAAAGAGTACTGGATGCTTAGAAGTAGAGGAGATGGGTTGATGGGAGTGATAGCTAAAAGAATATGACGTTTCTTTTCGGAGCGATAAACAGTTCTGGAATTAGTGGTTATGGTTGTACAACTGTGAATAGACTGAAAACCAGTGAATTTCAAATTTCGAATGGGTGACTCGTGTGGTAGGTGAATTATATCTCAATAAAGCTGTTATTAAAAATAATAATAACGGGAGAGGGTTGTAAAGAATATGTTAAAATTAGCCACAGATTGATAACTGTTGAAGCTGAGGTGGATACATGGGATTTACTGTTCTCCCTACTTTTGTACATCTTTGAAATTGCTCATAATAAAATGCTCAAAGCACCATCGTCTCTCGTTTGGATTATCGCAATAACCCCCTAACAGGTCACCGTGTCCTTACCCTTGCCCCCCCCAGTCTGTTCTCCTCACCTCGACCAGAATGATCAGCCTACACGGTAATCGCGATCACGTCTACCCTCTAATCAGATGCCAACCATGACTCCTCACTGCCCTCCGTGTAAAAGCCAAAGTGCCTACAGTGGCCCTACTAGACCCTGCACTATCTGATCCCCCACTGCTTCCTCTCCAAGGACCTCACTCACTCTGCTCCAGCTATAATGGCCTCCTTGCTGCTCTTAGAACATGACAGGCTGGCCCATTCATCCTCGAGTCACAACTGGTATGAGGTCGGGTGGACATCAACCGTTTTGAAAAGCGAGCAATCGGAGGCATATGAGGTAAGCTACTTAGCTGCCACACTCTATTTGAGATCTTTTTAAAGAATTTAACTACCTCAAATGCAATCAAGTTTGATGAACAGAAAATGTCTCCGAACTAGAGTCATCCACGAACTAGGGGTGTGGTCAGACTCCGCGCTAGCGGAGGAGGGACAGGCGGAAACGGTCCCGCTCGCCGTCAAAGTAACCTGCGTTCTGCATCGGCCCGCCTGGGCCAGTGCGCTAGAAACGGGTGGCAGAAACGGACCGGGGCCCAACAGGAGGGGGAAGCCTGGTCGTCCAGGGGACTCTAGGAGGTGGCGGAACGCCCACCGATGGTACCCTGTCTTTGGGGGAGAAGACCACACCTGTCAGCAGAATCGGTCCGACGTGAGAAGGGCGGGAGCAGTGGGCCGCGAGCGCTCCTCGAGCCCCGTCGCGCCGAGAAAGTCCGGGTTCCGCGGTCGCCCTTCCCTTCTCCCCCTGCCAAAATTCCCACTTCCGGCTTCCGTTGTCGTAGCTGTGGGATCCGGAAGTAAAATACACAAGCCCCGCCCCCGCCGAGGAGGCTGTAAAGAGGTTCAAGGGGGAATCCCAGAGGGAAGTCTGAGCCCGCCAGCCTCGGCCGGCCTGCAGGATGCTCCCCAGTGATATGCACCACCCGCTACTTTTCGGCGTAAACCCACACTCCCCCTTGTCTCTCCGGCGGCGGCGCTCGGTCGCCCCACCCCCGCCAGGGGAGGATCCACGAGGAAGCTGTCTAATAGGGCTGGCTTGACCCGAGTGGGCTACGGGTCCGGGGAGGGGGCGTGGCTGAAGCCGGCCCCGCCCACAAACGGAGCCGAGGGGCGTGGCCACGCTACCAGCGGAAGTGGAGCCCTCAGCGAGGGCGCCGGGCCGCCTGGGGCGGGGGAGAAAGCCAAGGCTGTAGGGGCGGAGCCGGGCCAGCGATGGAGACGTTGGCAAATGGCGCGGAGCTGCACGCTGACCCGCGAGGCATCGCGGACGCGACACAGCGGCACCGGGGACAGCGGGATGCTCGCGGCCCAGCAGACAGCGCAGGTGCCCAAGGGGCGAGGCGGGCCAAGGGAGGGGACCTCGCGCGGGGAACTCGCGCGCGGACCTCGCGCGGGGACCGGCTTGGGATGCGCGCGCACCTGCCCGCTCCCCGCCCCGCGAGGGAGGGACACATGGAGTCTCCGCCCGCGCTCCTCGCCTGAGGCGGTCAGCTCAGATCAGGTGCCCGCCCCCGCTGGTTACATGGACCGGCAGGTCTCAGGCCCCGGAAACGGCCGGGAACTCTGGGCCTGCGAGCGTGACAGGCAGTGGCGGCGACGGCGAGGCTCGGGTAACGAAGTGGGCGGGCGCCACGCCGGCGGAGGGGCACGCTGCGCCGCGAGGCCCTCCGATTTGCCATTCTTGAGAGGCGGGCATAATCAAAGGGTATTAACGCATCCCGTGGGACCCTTGAGGAGACCAAGACCCTGAGAGGACCAGGGACTTGCTCGCCCGGGTGTCCCAGCTTGGCAGGAGGAGGGCTGGAGCAGCAGAGTCTAAACACGCTTCAGCTCATTGTGGAGTTTCCACCCGATTCCAGGGTGAGACGAACCTAGGCGGGCGGCGCAGTGTCCCGGCACAGGCTTACTCAGTCCCTCGGAACTGAGGCTCTAGTTGGAATCCACTAGCGCTCTGGGTAATTTTGTAATGTACGCTGTGAAAGAAGGCTGCCTGGGGAGTATGGCCGGAGCTCAGAGCCAGCAGTTTCTAACTTCCCAGCCATCCCGCCCCACCCTTCACGGCCAGTGGTTTCAAATAATCAGACTTTAGCTGGATGAAAACCCAAAAGACCCCTCGATCAAAGGGGCCGACTTCTCAAAGCTCTTCTGTTCTCGTGCCTTGTCAACAAGTCTGTCTTTCACCAGAGAGCATAATGGCAGAACAAGTGGCCCTGAGCCGGACCCAGGTGTGCGGGATCCTGCGGGAAGAGCTGTACCAGGATGATACCTTCCATCAGTCCGATACGCATATCTTCATCATCATGGGTGCATCGGTAAGTCTCCCCCAGGCCCCACGTCTTAAAAGCTAAACTTACAGTGTGACATCGCTTCAGGTCCCTTCCTGCTGGGTGCCTGAGCTTTCCCAACTGATTGTCGTGGGGCCACATGGGCTCTGCTCACTTGGGCTGTCCCTCTTGCTCCTGCCATGTGCCGCTATCACCCCGGCACCAGCTGGTGTACACAGCCATGAGGCATTTCTAAACTCTGCCCAGCGGTTGACGCAGAACGGTGTCCCGGAGCTGGACGGCCCTCGGGAGCTATCTGCTTGAACTTCCTCCTCCGTGGGGAAAACTGAGAAGCAGACGGGGGAGGCCGTTCATTCTGTGTGTATCTTTTTCAAACCTTTTTATGGCTTAACGAATGTCACACAATCGGTTAGTTCTAGAGGCAGGATCTAAGGCTCAGTCCCCACCTTGTCTGTCTCTACTACGTCAAGTTCCCTGGGAACAAACACTCGAGCTTTCTTCGAATATTATCTCTTAGCCCCAACTTCCAAGGCCTGCTGACCCAGCCCGCTGTCTAGCCGGAGGCACTGCCATTTTGCTCTGATAGGAAAGACCAGGGTCTCCACACTAAAGCCCCCTCCCAGTGTGCCGTGTGGAAACGAGATCTGCCGAGTGGCAAGGTGGGGACAGGGGGGACTGGTGAGACGAGTTGCCAGGGTTATCTGGAAGTAAAAGCGGCCTCCCCTTTTCACTCTTAACCTTGGACGTGACCAAGAATCTGCTAAGTATCACATGGCCATTTTTGCCCGTAACTTATTGTATAATCTTGAGCAAAAGTTTCATCCAAACTAGATAAGAGATAATAGACGTTGGCTCTCTGCGCCTTCCACGTCATGGCCGCCTCCACCGGGGGGGACCTCGGTCCTTTGTATGTGTATCAGAACATGCTGCTCCCTGCCAGCTTTGGGATCCTGATCAGAACTTGGAAAAGGAGCGCCAGAATGCAGGGCGGGGGGCAGAGCCGGGGGCCGGGGCTCCGCCCCCGAGAGGAAAGGGGAAGGGCTGTCCTAGCAATGTCCTCTGACTCCCCCATAAGCCCAAGATTGGGAGCAGGAGAAGTGTGGCCTCCATCCTGGCCTCAGCCTGGTCCCCTTAGAGGATCCATGTCTGCGCGCTGGCCACAACCTTAACACCTAGGACGCTGACCATTAGGCCCTTTGTCCAAAGAATACTGTGGAGGAGAAAGGAACTCAGGATTATTTCTCCTCCTTCCTTCATCCCTGTAGCGGAGGCTCCCAGGCCACAATAAATGGCTTACAATTCCAGGCCCTTGACTCTTATCGGACACTTCACTGAAAGCATCCATGTTTGCCATGCGACCTGGGGCAAGTGTCTTCCCCGCTCTGAACCTCAGTGTTTCCATGTAGCAGATGAGAGCTTTTTTTTTTTAAGTTTTTCCCCTTTATTGAAGTTCGCAAACGAGGGCTTTGGAAGCAAGTGCCAGGGTCTTCGGGCTCCGCTGAGCTGACCCTGTGACTCCTCGCTGCCTTTACCTGCGGCCAGCTCGGGGTTGGGCAACTTCGTTTCTTTGCAATCAGTAGGGTTCCCCTTTTCCTCTCTGCTCTGGGAGTGACAACCAGACGCTTCAGAGCAGAAGTGGGAAGTGCCACTTCAGCAGGGCGGAGGGGGACTTCAAAGAAGAGCCTCCTGTTTGTTTCTCTGTCCTCCTACTCAAGGGGTCTGGAGCGGGGCGGGCGGGGCTGCCCCCGCTCGGGCAGCACCTAGAACAGCGCCCAGAATCAGGCATCACCTGCTTGCACCCTCTGTGCAGCAGGCAGGTAGGCAGCAGGCAGGTAGGCAAGGTGGTACCCTGGGAAAACAGTAAGTCTCTGTTTATTCAGCTGACAAATGGCGACCGAGTGCCTTTTCTGCAGCGTAGCGACACAGGCCCAACCCTCCTCGTTGGACCTCTGTGCTGGGGGGCCGAGACCCAAGGCGGGTTAGCAGCCCAATAAGAGTTCAGAGTGGCACATGTGACGGAAGACACAAATGGTCTCTTGTGTCCCCAGCGCCCCCGCCCCCACCCCCGCCCCCAGCACACAGATCTCATGAGGAAGGCCTGCAGAGCAAGGCTGAGGGAGCGCTCCATGCAAAGGGAAGAGCAGACACAGAGCACCCAGTGGCTGGGAGGGGCCCCCCGGGGCAGGCCAGGCCAGGCCCATGCGGCCATCCTCCGCCCCTTCCTCCTCCCTCACCAGCTTACCCAACCCTCGCCTTCGCACCCAGCTTCCTTCCTGGGTGCATCGCAATACTAGAATTATCCAACAGGCTTC